TTTCTTTTTTCCAAGACATATATTTTATTATTTCTTTATAAAATGTTATTTGTTCTAAAATCATTTTATTGTATAGTATTCTAGCAAGTTGGTCATATCGTATATAGTCAGAATAATGCAGACATTCTGTTATTTATTCTTGAGTCTATTTCTGAGGTTCTGGAAGTCCATAATCACAATACATTTTCTGTGTTCTATAAGCATTAAGGCTATTTGTTGAAGTGTTAAATTAATAGCAATTTGTTGATTATTATTTGAGTTTTTTTTATAAATTGTTGCCATAGATCAAGAGCAAGGGCTCCATCTAGTATTAATTGTACAAATAAAAATCATAACTGTGCTGGTATATAAAAATTGTTAATAGCTTCTTTTATTGTTAATATGCTTTCATTATCATTAGCATATAATTCCATCTCACACGCTGCTTCTTGATATGTGTTATAAGTATTTCTATTTGCTATTTTGAGTTCTTCTCATGTTTGAACAGTTTGATGCATTAGGATGCTTCTTAAGTAGAATATTTCACTAGCTCCTGGCGCAAGCAAGACAATTCTAATAATTTTATTTTCAGTACATTTTCATACAATTTTTTTTAATACTCCAGGATATTCTTGTTCGATGAAATCATTTTCGCATACTTTATTTTGATTAAAAGAGTATAATGTATAATTTTCATAATATTCTGGGTATTTTAATTTGTCAAAAAAAGAGTCAAGTGGATGAAGAAAATAATGGTCCAGAAGTGAGATTGAAAATGGATTATTTTGTAAATGTGAATATTGAAGAATATTAAAATTTAAAAGGTGAATGGGTAGAATTTGAACTGATAGATTTGATGTAGTTATAGGGTAGCAGAAGATTCTTTATGCGGCTTCTAGTGCTGATAAATATCTTCCATTAATGTAGTCTTTAAATTCATTTACAAATTGTTTAGATAATGATTGAGCTTTATTTGAATTAGTATTATTTGTTGTTTCAGGGTTGTGAGAGTTAAAATTTTCTGTATTTGCAGTATCAATATTGAATTTTACATAGTCAGGGCCTTTAAAAAGATATTTATATAGATACATAAATAAATAGACTATAAAAGTGATTTCAAAGTTGATGTAATATTCAATTTTAAAATTAGTAATAGATTATATGGTATGACCCATGCATCTTTCTGTATTCGATAGTGATATTGTATAAAGCTTTTTTCATCAGCATATGTTGTTGGAATTATAGATTTTGGGTATTGATAGATATATTTATCATTACAAAGACAATGGGATGAATGTTGCAGTTTGTGTATCATATATTTTTCAACTAATTCTTTTAATCTGAATTTTTATTTGGTAGTTTTGCTGATATGATTTTATCTATTTGATCTATTGGAAGTTCAGGATGTATGCGAATTATAATATATGTATGCAGGAATCTATGTTTTTGG